AATTTACTTAAAGAAGTCTTCGTACCACTTCAAAAGTGGACAAGTAAAAACTTCAAATTTCTGCTAACAAATTTTATTTGATGCTCCCAAAGAGGACAACCCTATTTTCTCATTTTCTGCAAGTATCGAAGATGTTCGGTTTTTTTGAAGTTGTGCCACCCCTTTTCATAAAACCCAATTTTCTGCAAGCAGAAATTTGGATATTACTTTGCCAACGGTGGGGTGGTCCAAATGTGGACAAGTTAAAAACTGGAAGGACACTTTCTCCCTACGTTGAAATAGAACGGTCTTGGGAAGATTGGCATCACCGACCCTGAAAAAAACATGTGGTGGATGAAAGTTGCGAGGCTGCGAGAGTGACGGTCCTTTTTACATGTAGTAGTACTACAAACGTGATCGGCCTTTTTCGTGGAACTTGTATTTCCATTTAGCCGATTTTGTGATAAAAATTGGACCTTCTTCACGTCAAGGATGTGACTTTTATGGGATTTATCGGGGGAGTATTATTCTATAGGAAATTGTTGAAAACTATATATCTAAGACTGACAAAAATTATGAACTGATTATGGAGGAAGTTACTCGGAGTAGCAAAAGTGAACAACCAATTTGTTGATATTCAGATATACTAAGATTTGGGGGTTTTTTTCACATTTCACAGTACATGTATCAGATGACTGCTCTGGGCCGTCAATTGCAAGTTTGTGTTTTCATTGCGTTAATATCTCTTCACATTGTCACTTTGAATCAATTGTCTTCATATTAATGACCAAGGCCTCCACTATAACTGCCCACATGTATTGATGTTTCGAACAAAGATTTGAATGATAAATATTAAATTAAATCTTTGATGTCATATCAGTGACCGACTAATGTAATGGAGGAAAGATCTATTTTCTACGTGGCTATCCTTTTTTGTTATTGGAATTACTGACTGAATACGTGTTTTGGAATTATTTGTGGGATGTCAAAATTATTTCAGCAAACCCAAGTTTTTGAAACTCTTGATTTCACTTGATTAAACAGCTCTTAGCTTCTTCTATTGAGATGACTTTTTCGATTACAACCTGTTTTCGTCCCACAGCAAATTCAATTATTCTACTGGAATGGACACAGTGGTTCATTCTAGCTATAGCATCGTTTAGGGGACATATCACCATGCGCTCATTTATTTAAAAATAGAAATTCCCGACGGCAAGCCACCACCGTCATTCGAATTACACGGTGTACTGGGAAGTCGCATGTAGGACTGTCAGGCTTTGGACGGCCCCTTTCCTATGTGCAAGTTTCTCAATAGGAATCACCCACATTTTCTCGAACTGTGAAGCCATCCGTCGACGTGTCAGATGCGGACCATTGACCCTCTACCGTTAATGTTGGCTGCTCATCTTCTCAAGACCGTTTCATTCTGAGCGTAGGGAGCGCAGCGGTCGTTTCAGTTTTCAACTTGTCCACTTTTGGACCACCCCGCCGTTGGCAAAAGAAAATCCAAATTTCTGCTAGCAGCAATTGGGATTTATGAAAAGGGATGGCGCAACTTCAAAAACCCCGAACATCTACGATACTTGCAGAAAAAGAGAAAATGGGGTTGTCCTCTTTGGGAGCATCAAATAAAATTTGAAGTTTTTACTTGTCCACTTTTGACGGGCTACGAAGATTTATTTAAGTACATTCCCAATTTTTGCTGGCAGAAAAGTAAGTTTTTGAAATTGCTATACGCAAATTCCCCAAACCCAGTGGCAAAAAAATGAGAAAATGGAGTTGTCCGCTTTTTGAGCATGACAGTAATTTTGCCAGTGGGAATTCGAAGTTTTTAGTTGTCCACTTTTGACGCGCCACGAAGAGTTGCCAAAGTAAAATCCAAATTTCTTCTAGCGGGAAATTGCGTTTTTTGAAAATGCTTAAGGCAAAGTCCGTCAGGCAACGTAATATGTGACGCGATGCACGACACGACGTACGACGCGACGCACGACAGCACGACGCGACAGGCGACGGCAGGGCGACGTTTAGGCAGAAAAAATGGCAAGAAGGCTACGGGTGCGACCCGACGGCACGACGCAAGGGAGCCGTCTTGCCGTCTCTTCGTGTAGTTGCGTCGCCCTGATGGTGCTTAAGAGAGAGAAATGTTTGTCGTAAAAAGTACACCATACTGGGACAGAAATACATGTACATGTATACCATTTGTATATGTATGGTGGAACCGGACTATTAATAAATGGCATGTAAGAGCGCACGCATGCGCTGTGCGTGCCTAAATTACACCATCGTTCACGCATGCGTGCACTTCACGTACATCTAGATGTACATGTACATGTACTAGTAGTACATGTACAGTACTCTAATGCGCTTGGCGCGGCAGTCACACAAAGCTATACACGTGTGCAGGGAAAAGTCGGTTGGAGATTGCCATTTTCTGAAAATAGAAAATGTTGTCACAAGCCATGGAACGCCTTCCTACAATCATATCAACTGCTCTTCTAGCAACATCTGGTGTTGCAGTTTATTCCACATACAAACTGCTTACTATAGATAGTGAACGGCAAGCGAAGGAGAACGTTTACGAAACAACTAAACTTGTGAATCAGTATTTAGTGTTTCATTACGGGTCTCCAAGAGAGGTCTTACGGTATGACTTTGGCCCAACGAATTCGGTGGATTTCGCGCGAAGGGTTGCAGATGAGTGCCTAAAGGTGTACAGGAGTAAAATAAATAAGGTATTTCGAGTATCCATTTATGCATGGTTGGGAGAATTCGAGCTGTACGAGTTCACATTACATGTACATGCTCAGGTAGGGGACCAAACCAATGTCTAGCGACGCGTGACGACGGTAGTCCATGCACATCGCATAACCCGCGCCAGTCTGCAGTGCTTGTGGCAACGGTAATGAGGTTGTTAACGCCCCAACTATAGCATAAGTCCCAACTGTAGTATTGCAGTTGGGCTGGCCCAACTATTGTAGACCAGTAGTGTCTGTGGGAAATGCCTCAACATTATCCAAGCCATTATTCAAGTCAGTGTGTCTCACACTTGACACAATTCATCTAAAATGTGGCACTTCATCCAGCCCTATGACCAGTGACATGACATTTGTAAATGATGTGACTTTGGCACATGCTGGAAACATGCACACATGATCTCTCTGCTGTAGTTGGGACGGGCCCAACTGTAGTTGAGACGGGCCCAAATGTAGTTGGGTCTGATGCTATAGTTGGGGCATAACAAGGTCACCACAGGCAATTTATTTGTGTGCAGCGCTATCCCTCTTCACACTGTTTCCCAACTATAGTTGGGACTTATGCTATAGTTGGGGCGTTAACAACCTCATTACCGCTGCCACTAGCACTGCAGACAAGGTCACCACAGGCAATTTATTTGTGTGCTGCGCTAGCCCTCTTCACACTGTTTCGCAGCGAGATTTGCGCAAGGATTTTCGAGAGTTTGCTGGGTGTTTTTCCAACTTAAGTTCAATGCACTTCTACTTCTACTTCAGCTGCTGGCCAAGATGGCGTGGGAAGTTTATCGCTCATTTCGGACAGAGTTCCATATACGGACGCCAGTTGGTAAACAGTCAGGTTGTTTGACAAAGCCCTGTCACATAAACGGACGACGCAAATGCCAGCAGCAGGCACTATGCAGAAAATCATGCTGGCGCTCGAGATCTCTCTGGGAGATTCATAAAGATTTTGCCTTGATATGTTCATCAAATCTGATCTTGAACATGCTGCAAAGGAAGAGCAAGGAAGTTACAACCAAACTGATAACATGAAGGTACGAGTGGTCTTAACTCGAGGTACGAATTTCCAAGGTACATGTACATGTGATGAGGAGTTTGTTGTCTCCAACTTTACATGCTATTAGAGCCAAGTGATCACTTGTCTATTTACAGTTTCCTGGATGAGTGTAAAGACTTCCCATAAGTTTAAGAAAATGGTACAAGTTGCAGCAGAATAGTCGTTTTATGCATCTTTCAACGTTCCATGTTTTTTAACTGACCATCAAGGGGAACTGCTGCAAGTCATTTTCGAAATTAAACTTAAAACAACTTCTGTATAAATATTCAAAATTTGAAAGAGAACATGACTTTGTGACTTACGTCAGAGTCTTCAACATTACTGTGCAAACTGTAAATGTACTAAATGTGTCAGGGTAGTGAGCAAACAGATTTTGTTTGTTTGCCAGTTTTAGGTAGTCAGTGTTAAAGTTTTATTTTTAATTTGTGCCCAAAATGATACATGTAGTTGTCTTTCATGTACATGGAGCAGGAGCTTAACTAAATGTCTTTGTAGCTGTATCAGTTCATTTTATACGTACAGTACATATACTTACATGTATATTACTTGCATGTACTAATATGGGTTTACACAGAAAAGGGTATTTTAAAAAGGTATGCGCTTTTCAATATACTGTACCTGCCTTTTCTTGCAATAAGTTTTCTTGTTCTCTGTTCATGTACATGGAGCAGGAGCTGAGCTAAATGTCTTTGCAGCTGTATCAGTTCATTTTAAACGTTTATATTACCAGCATGTATCAGTATGGGTTACACAGAAAAGGTATTTGAAAAGGTATGCTCCTTTCAATATACATGCCATTTCTTGGAATGTTTTCTTTTTCTGAAAAGCAGTTTACAGTATTTTTATTGATGCTGTATATGCTACACTTATCTCATAAGAAGCTGATTCGTTACCATGTTTCCCTTTCATTTATTTGATTTTCAACAACTTGTATGGAATTTCCTTGGTCAAGAAGTAATAACTTATTTGAAAAGCTATGTCAGCTTGTCTCTTGTGTTTGATACATGTACATGGTTGTTAATTTTGTTTCTTGGTGTTGGGAAGACACATAAACTTGCAAGAATGCCTTTTTTACATTGTACTTGTTTTGAAAAGAAACGTTTACTTTTGTACCAAAATATATTTGGAATTCTGTCTGAAAAGGAATAGGCCTACAGTTGTGCTCAAAATTATTCATACCCTTTGGAAAATAACATACTTTTCTAAATTCTTTATTTGTAAAAGCTATTGTGTTGGTACTTCCACTCTGACTTTTGTCTATTTGTTGTAGTACACCAACCCACATGTGTGGTGGTTAAACTTCATTTGCATAATAAGAGATAGGACCCAGGTTTGTTTTTGCTCCTGGTCAAAATTATTCGTACCCCAGATTTTAAGTCCAAAGTCTCTTCTTAATAGTCAGTAGCGTGACCTTTGTTTTTCATGTCTGCCTCATGATGGTTGTGACTGGTAAACTCTCAGAAAATTCAAAAGACGGTGACGTAATTTACCTTGTATCATGCCACTTTAATGACGAGTTGTGACTGACAGCAAGTCTAACAGTGCTGTTTTAGTGTGCGCAGTAACTGTGACTCTGTGGTTCACTCTGTAATCAACAATACGGACATACTTCAACATTAAATATCTAAACTCAATGCCAAATCTTCTTATTCCTAATACGCTATACGTGCACATGTGTGGAACTGACTGCATGGTCTGACATGCCAAATTTATATACATGTATGTGATGTTCATCATGCCCAAAATGATTATTTCTACATGTACCTCCCTCCTTATGCATCTTAATCTGTAACACATGAGCTGTAATTACAAGTAACCCAAAACGTGGACTCACAACATTGGGCGTATCAAAATTCAAACAAAAGTCAGTGGAATTCTTCGACGAACTTTAGCGAAATGCAAAACGTGCAAGCAAGAACAAGCTGGTACGTCCAATCAGGTCCAAGCTGGAGTTTCTCAGCAGACGCTTTCACATTGTTATCAAGTATCTTGAAATAATCCTCCATTTTCATGATGCCCTGTATCTTAATGAGGTTCCCAGTGCCACTAGCGGAGAAGCAACCCCATAGCATTATGTTGCCACCACCATGCTTTACGGTTGGGACTTTGTTCTTCGGCTTGTATGCTTTTCCTTTCGTCCTGCAGACATAATCAATATCCATGTGGCCAAACAACTTGATCTTTGTCTCATCAGACCACAGGACTGATGACTAAAAGGTAGGATCTTGCTTCAGATGTGTTGTACCGGTAGCAAATACCAGATGAGCCTCCTTATGTTTCTTTCTGAGTAGTGGTGTCTTCCTGGGCCTGCATCCGTGGAGACCTCCTTTGTGCAATACTCACTGGATGGTTGCCTGTGACACCTTCGTCTCTGCCTTGTCAAGGGCATCAATTGGGGCCTTGGTGGTGATCCGTAGGTTATTGTTGGCCTCCCAGCAGATTTTTCTGGCAAGTCAAGGAGATACTTTGCACTTCTTGCCACGCCCATTGAGGTTTTTCACTGTGTTGAACCTCTTATGCTTCCTGATGATACTCTGAATTGTTGAAACAGGAACCTCATTTTGCTTTGAAATTACCTTGTAGTCTTTGCCTTCTTTATAGGCATTCACGATACACTGGCTTATATCCTTATTTCACCACCTGTTGTCAAGTCTGATTGATTTGAATAGTGGAAGAAGTACCTCTAATAATAGCTTTTACAAATGAAAAATTTAGAAAAGTATATTATTTTTCAAAGTGTATGAATAATTTTGAGCATAACTGTAGCTATGCTTGCTCAAATTAACAGGAAACATACTACCCAGGATCTAAGTGAAACTTTCCTTTTATTTGGAATCTCTAAAAGCAGATTGAGGAAATTTTTCAGTTTGTTTTCCTACCTCCTTACAGTGGGTAGGTGAGTTCTGCCAATGAAAAGGTTAGCATGAAAAAAATGAAGATTTGCCAAAGCTTTCTTTATGAAAATGTAGCCATTAAAAATCTTCATCGATATACCATGGCAAATTTTATGATTACCATGGCGATTTTTCAAAATAGCTATCAAAAATAGTTTTGCCATAGACTCTAACAGTAACGGCCATGGCGGCCATGTTGGCTGCTGGCATTGTTGTCCCGTTATTTTCCCCCAAATGACATTATCAAGTGACCTGATAAATATGACGTCTGGCGACATTGTTAAATTGCGGTTTGGTCCCGACCTGATGATGGCATGGTCATAATGGTCGCTGAATGGTAGTACCCTCAATGATCATGACCATGTGACGTTAGTCATCAGGTCCCTAATTTCACCACCTGTTGTCAAGTCTGATTGATTTTCAAAGTTAGTGACGAGATAAGGGACCTGGCAAGTTATACGGCCACTGACGTTTAACTCTAGGGTTTTTCATCCACTGCAATACCAGTATCAGTCAGTATGCCTACCATGAAGAAGGGCAGACAGTATTTGGACATCTCGTTGCGGGGACAACTCATTCCCAAAATTTCACACCCGGGATTACTCCTACATGTATCCGAGTCAACTCATACCTGAGATATCTCGTACCCGGGACACTTCGTACCCTGCACAATTCATACCTGGTAACAACAAATGCACTTTACTTGCACTTAACCTGATTTACCATTTTAATAAATGTGCTCCACTAATTAAAACCTTTGGACAGTATCACCATAGGTTGACTTTGGGCTTTTTTCTTTGTGTGAATTTTTTCCCCGGATAATTAGCATCAATCATGAACAAGGGGAGTATTAAAGCCCTTTTCACTGTCTGCAAATTGGTGGTTCTGCGCTAGTCAAGTTTCAGAAATGTGTGTCAGTCACCAAAAAGACAAGAAAAGCCCTTTTCACTGCTTGCTAATCAGAGGTTCCTGCCTGAATTTTTTTAAAAATTAGAGTGAATCACGAACAAGCCCAGTAAAGCCGTTTACAGTGCCTGAGATGCTGCACCACCTTTCATCCTATCCACCCTATGCCATGCACTGCAACTACTGAAGCATACGACTGCATGCAGACCCATATTACCACTCAAGAGTTTCAAGAAAGCTTACTTATTTCGAGAGCTAACCGAAGAAAATCTGATTACTCACAAAACAGACAGCTGCATTATTAGCAATCAAAAACTGCATTTGATATGCCATACTATAATTCTGATGTGATGTCACCACAAGCTATGATAAAATGTAAATTTCTCTTGGGTTACAAGTTGTTGCGGGTACAAGATGTCCTACACTCATGGCAGACGACTAGACCCATAAACAGGGCCCTATATATACGTTTCATCAATAGTGGGTACTGTCTAGATTTATTGTGATTTGATTCAGCTTTTGATTGGTTTAAAGTTTTATCCAGGACATCCACTACATTCAATTAGCTGAAACTGCATTGGTATATTCATTAGTTATGCAGCTTACAATATGTTCTGAGGTTGACATTCACAAAAACTTGCCTTCCCTCATTTGGAGGAAAAACTGTTGCCTCCCTAAGCTTGTATTTGGCCTTTTCCCCCACTCTGGATGAATAATTGCTCCACTTACACATTACACAGACTCCTACTGTGTGTATGTTTCAGTAATGGTAGGTTGTGCAGAGAGCCTGTCTGGTAGTGTACACTGGTAGTACACATACGAATCTTGTTCAGATCCGCAAGAGTACCTGTCAGTCCAATTATTTGTGACAGTAAAAAGGAACATGAAACATGATCTTAGAACAAGACTTAGCTACGATTAGTCTTGGAGTAAGGAGTCAAGTCCAACACGCTGATGAAACTTCATCAGGTTTGCTCCTGGGCACCCTTCTTTAGATTTTGAGTAATATTGTTGCCTCAAAGGAACAAATACTGTTTTGCATGAATGACATATAATGGATGTACCTGAAACTGTGGTTTCAAACCATAAAAAAAATGCAATGATTTTGTTTATTGTTTACAGATGAAGGTGCCAAGGAGAGCTTTGGACATAGGATGTGCAGTTGGAAGAACCGTGTTTGAACTTGCTCGTGACTTTGAGCATGTGACAGGAATTGACTACAGTCAGGCATTTATTGATACCTGCTGTGTTTTGAAAGATCAGGGTTCATTGGATTATTCTGTTCAAGATGAAGGAGATTTGTCCACACAACTAAAGGCAATCGTGGATCCTACAATCGTATGTGCATATGTGTGTGTGTGTGTGTGTTTGTGTATATACATGTATATAGCCCAAATAAAAAATAGTTGTGTTTCCTGTTACAACATATAGGAAAGGTACAGTGACAAATTTTTTATGTTGCTTCTTTTTTTTTGAGCAAAATATTGTTACAGTTTCCCAATAGTAGCACAATGGGATGATGGTTAACCTTCTTTATGCCCTCTAGCAAAGCTAAGGGGGCATTCAGTTCTCTCCTGTGCGCTTGTGTTACTTTTACATCGTGACAACTTAGTCTCCACAATGACTATTGCGCATAGTGTAGTCCCCACACCCATGGTGTCATGTGTGTGTGCAAGTAATAAGTTTTCTTACCAAAAAGTCAAGAAGGATTGTGGATATCAACTTCGGTCTTGGTATGTAAATTGATCTTAGTTTCTTTCAGAAGCCTGTTGGTTTTAAACCCTAGCGGTCAAAGGTCAAGGTCATTGTAGAAAAGTTTTTCCCACTTTGGTCCTGGTTATTTATGAATTTTGTTCTCTTATGGTCAAAGTAATTACCGTATGTAATACCAAGTGCAAACTTCGTAAAGGGAATTCATGAAGCAGATGGCTCTGTGTTGGTATGCAGGCCAGAATAATGAGCTATTTTTTTAAGCCAAACAGTCTAGCATTTAAAAAAAAAAAAATGCAAACAGATGTACATGCATACAAAATATACCTGTACACGTAGGTTCTGGGGGGATTCATTTAGTGGTTTTACCACTGATATTCCTTATACGTTTCTGTGTTGGTTCAGTAAATGGAAATGCAACTTTTTTGTTTTTCATCTAACGCAATTTTGAACATGGATTAAAACCTGCTGCTTTATGTCACAGAAGTTAATGAACCCTTGACAACATTTGTGTTTCATGAATAATTTTTTTTAATTGAATAACGTGACCCTTTCTAGGCTTTGCCTTGTCTGTAAAAGACAGTGTGCATGTACATGTAGTTGAGCAGTATCTAATGAGGGGGGGTGGGGACTTACCCCCCCTGGGGAATTTAAGACACTTAAGAAACAATAATAGCACCAAGGGAGGGGGGACAGCAATTACGTGTAAGTAATCTTATTTATACTTAAAAATTATGTGTACATTAACCAACTCTTAATTTGTCGGCATTGTCATTTTTTCTTTATTCTTCAATGATTTTCTCTGAAATTAGGATCGCACACGAGTTCATTTTCAGCAGGGTGATGCCTGCAACTTGCCTCTCGATATTGGCCAGTTTGGTTGTGTTGTTGCTGCTAACCTTACCTGCCGGTTACCAAACCCTTACGATTTCTTGAATCGACTACCAAACCTTGTGGCACCTGGTGGTATTCTCATGTTGACAACACCCTGCACTTGGCTAGAACAATTTACACCCAAAGTAAGTAAGCTCTGTGTTTGTTCAAAAGAACAAAATACATGTATACATGTACATGCAAACTGAAACAAATGTGAATATCTGTGAAATTAAAAAGGAAAGAAATGCATGTCTTTAATGTTTTAATTAACTTTCACCATGCTGCACCTCTCATGACTTTCACCATGAAACATGTTCTTGACATACCAGCGAAGAAACGTTGGTACAGATTCAGGTAAAAAAAACCTTGAATCAAATACAAAACAGAATCTGTGAAGTTGATGCACTCTACCGTCCACTACTTGTAAAGCAACCTACATGAAGTGAGAACTTCATGTAGAAAAGCCAGGATGATAAATCATATTCATGCCCTGTGAACAGCGCCCATGTGCATATTTCAGAATTAGTGATGTGTACTTGGTACTGGACACATACAAATACAGTAGCAAGCTTAATGTGTCACCCCGACGGGAATTGTTGCTTAATTGATAAAGCCTCATGTTCAGATAATTTTGCTTTGCGTAGATCAGTGAGAATTCAGATTTCCGTGAAGAAAAGAATGTATGTGTATTTACAGTACATGTTTTTTTCTTTTTCTTGAAGAGCAATTGGCTTGGTGGCTACATGGACAAAAATCAGCAGCCAGTCACAACTTTTGACACACTCAAGAAAATCCTAGGTCCAGACTTTGATCTGATTGAGGACAAAAACATGCCTTTCTTCATCAGAGAAACAGCTCGTAAAAATCAGTGGTCGGTTACACATGCCACAATTTGGATTCGTAAAGAATAATCCATGAATTTGATTATGATTGTTTAATGATAAGCAATTCTAGGGTTTTCATTCCGGTAGTGTAGGGAGTATATTGGGTAATAAAACCTGTGGGAAAACCATATTTCATCTTCACTGTATTACTTTTTTTACCAAGGGAACAAATATTTTTTCAAGGACCTGCGCATATGTACTTGGTTTGGGGTTGCTTTTTGCTAAATGTGTGTGTATAAAAACAGAACCTATGGATAAATCCTAACTTAATTGGGCACAAATGATATGGGTAATTTATTACGGCAATACATGCATAGTATTAACAAGTATTAGATTAAGTTCCTGTTCCGAAGAAGATTTTGTTCCAGTCCCACAATAATTTTCTCTTGGTTCAGGAAAAAACTCCATAAAGTAATCTTGGTTTTTCTATCCAATCCTATTCAAATTTCTAAATGAACCTGACCATGCATAAGGTGGAAAGAAAGTTGTTTAAGATACAAATCTATATGAGGAAATGTAATGTGATTTGATGTAAATTGATTTAATGCCCTACATATTATTTAATGTATTTACATGTACATGTGTGTTCCAAAGTATAGCTTACATGTGTAGGCACAAAGTGTTGGATTTGCTTTTATTTAGGCCTATGGCTTTGAGATAAGGTTTGATCTATGTATCTGCAACTAATTTTTTTGCGAACTTGTCTTGGCAGTACCATCACTAACTTCAACACTAGTTAGTGTTCTACAAGTAATATGTGTGTACCGTATCTTTACTTACAAATAAAGTTCAACATTAAGGTCTGTGTAAATGTACTATTTACAACAAGCTGTACATAAAACAAAGCGGGACAATTCAATTTTATTTCTTTTCCAGTATTTGCCATGCAGTATTTCACGAAATCTTCGTCAGGTTATTTTCAGGTGCACTTTTTGTAAAAAAAAAGTCCATGTCTACATGTAGATGTTGTGAATGTTATTGATTTGAATCGTTTTGAATTCTTACCTCCCTGTCTTCTTTTTCTGTCTTAAATTCTGCCAGTTAGGACACTGTGCAAAGCTACTTGTATACCTTTCAGAGGTAACAAAAGAAAAAAGCAAAACTAGAGGAGGCACATTACTTTGAATACTACTGTTTACAGTGTCTCCATTTTGCTGGCACCTCATTCATTGTATGATAATTACTTGAGAAAATAAAAAACCCATAGTAAACATAAAAGTTGGATGTAGGTACCCTGAGCTCTTTTTGGAGTATGGTTGATGACTCTGATACATAAACGTTGTGGTAGATAATTGATGCATGTAGATCCTCAGCCGCCATGTTTTATGGAACAGGAAGTGTAGATTGTACATTTTAAGTATTAGACTTGCTGGCAGCCATTAGCTTTTAACAAATGCTTGATCTCGTTTATTTGACAAATATTGTGCCTTTTTTTATTATGATTACTTGCAATATTCATTGAATATTGTATCCCCTGTAGATTAAAATTATTAAGTACACTTTCTCTGTGTGTTTATCGAAAATCCCAATAATTGAAATTATGGAAATATTGTAACGGTTGAGGGGGACCCGTTGAGTTAGAGAATGATGGAACCTGGCGTATATACCCACCGTATACTTAAGCTGTCTTGTATGTTGTTAGTCTCAGTCAAAGTCAACGGATGGGGAAGGGGCGGGAACGAGCGAGGGGGAGAAATCCGAAGTGTCAAACAACTTTCCTAATGATGCGGGGTGGAAGGGTAGGGGTGGGGAGGTTGAGGCAGTCCAGGCAATACCAGGGAGGTTTCACCATTCTTTCGACTATTGCGCAGGCGCACGCATACATGTTAGTAAGTGATCGAACATGAAGAGAATTACTCGAGGAAACAGCTGCTGTGTTCAGAATGCAACTTAAAATTATCTCATTTATTTCTAAAAATCACTTGGGTGCCTCTATTGCATTTATTTCAAAAGATTTATCAACATTTAGTTCATCTCGCTGGTCAGAATGAGTGACTCGGGTCGCTGCAGCTAGCCTATATGCATTGTATAATGCTGGTCTGCAGAAATAATTGTTGCTACGCGTGCTTCAGTAATTTGGCTGGGTCGGCTGGTCGAAATTAACTTGTACAAACTGCAGTTACGCTGACCTCGAAAAATGCTAAACTTCACGGCACTTTTCTGCCGACTCTGTACTTCACAGTCAAAATGAAAATTTCCCCATCCCCAGAGCCAAATTTCCTTATTTTCCTCCCGATTTCCTTGTTTTTTTAGTTAACAACCAAAACGCCTAATATGCATGTACTACCAAAACTACTATGCTTGTTTGCTGGATGATAATTTATAAGCAGAGGTCAGTATAATGCTAACACTCACGGTCTTGGGAAAAAAAAAATCAGGCTGTGTGCGTCATGTGTGTGTGATGATATCGATCTGCATGATGGCAACAGACAAACTTGTGCGCAGACTCAGAAAGTTTTATTTTACTAGTCTTGTTTCCAGTCATCCTGAATCTGACAGAATATTATTGTAGAGTTTGAAATGTAGGCTTTGCTGCAAATTTTGAGAATATTTAAAGAATTTGTTCAGAATTTAGTAATTTCCTTAGAATTTCTTTAGATTCGGGGGATTTCCTCAAAATTTCCTTAGATTTATTATACTTATAATTTCCTTCGAGAGCAAAAATTTCCTTGAAATAAGGAAATTTCCTTGAAAGTGGAAGCGCTGCCGACTTATGATTATTTTCGCAACACTCCTCAAGTTAGCGACTTTCTCAGCTTTTGTAAGTTAATTAATCTTCATGGCAGTTCTTTGCCGACTTAAATCTTCACAGCTTTTTATGATGACTTCTAGGTCTTCACAGCACTTCCTTGCCGACTTCTGCACGCGGAACTCATTGGTAATAATCCGCCAACCGCTTGCACACGCATTGAAGAGACTTCTGGCAGGGTAGAATGTACATATGTGCATCGCCCGCACTAAACAGTTTGCTGTCTGTGCGGCTTATATGCAAGTGAGTCACAATGATCAGCTCTTTCATTATCGTACAGTATTTATTTCGCGCACAAATCCTATTAATGATAACTACACAAGCATAATGCTGTGCCTGCATACACACACTTCTGCCATTAAACAGTTGTGTTATGTAAAACCATTGGCGATAGAATATGGAAAGAAACAAGTCTTGGCACCTCTAAGGAAAACACATTTTCTCTGATTTTATCTGTTCAAATAAATCATGGAAGGATCCAAATAAAATGCGGTGTCATTTGTCTTCAGAGCTCTGGGTTGCTGTTAATTTACGTAAATCTATTGAACGTAAGAATAATCTTTATCATAGGTTTATGTCAAATTCCCCACAGATGCACATCGTTCTAAATGCGTACGCTATAAAAACATTTTAACTCGTGCTATATTCACCTCTAAATGTAATTATTATACTAAACAATTGGACAAAGAAAAGGGTAATATTAAAAATACGGGGAAGATAATTAATCGCTTTGTTACTTTCCCTTTAACTGACAACTTTCCATATTGGCACTATTACAATCCTAACATATCTACAGAAATCTTTTCCCGGATCTCATACAATGACGACCCAAACATGCGAGGAAGTATCAGCAAAGAAGTTATTAATACGGTTTGGCACAAATAACTTCGGATCTATACTGATGGATCTTTTAATCCTGACCTCAAGACAGTTGGCTGCAGTCTGCATATTCCCCAACTTAACTACTCCAAAAATGTCAGATTTAACAACGATATCTCTATTTTCACAGCTGAACTTTTCGCTATCCTCTTAGCCGTGGAATGGATAGAAACCGTCAATCCACTTCACTCTTGTATATTCAGTGACTGTTTAAGTGCCATCCAAGCTATTGCTAACCCCCTGCCCCAGAATGAAATCGTCTGTGACATTCGACATACCCTCATTACTATTCAGCACCAAGGATTTGAATGGATTCCGGGCCACTGTGATATTCCTGGCAATGAAAAAGCTGACAAATTAGCTAAACTAGGAACAAAAAAAAATGTTGACCATCACATCCCTTTCTTTAACACCGAAATCAAACGCTGTCCTAAATAAAAATGATCTCATATATAATTGGAAAAAGTCCGTCCCAAATATTGACCCTTCTAAGCACCTTCAGCTTGACCCTTCCTTCGCTGGTTAAGGAAGTGATCCGGGCGATCTCTAAACGGTTTATTGTGAACATGTCTATATTGACAGGTGTAGTACTAAATTATATGAAAGTTGGTCACTCCTATTTTTAAAAGTGGTAATCTTGATCAATTAAATAATTATAGGCCTATCTCGGTTCTTACTACTTTTTCAAAAATTCTTGAATGAATAAATCACAATCGTATAATGGACTTTCTAGGTGAACACGACATAATTTCTGAATGTCAATTTGGATTCCGTGAAAACCATTCAACTTTACATGCTATTATTCACCTAATTGATAAAATAACTTATAATTTAGATGCATCCTGTGTTACAATTGGTTTATTCCTGGACCTCTCCAAGGCCTTTGATATAGTCAATCATAATACATACTTCTAAACAAACTTGCTTATTATTGCATTAGAGGAACCACCTTGGAGTGGTTCAGGAGTTACCTTTCAAATCGTTAGCAATTTGTATCTGTTAATGGTACTCACTCCTTTGTCAGTACAGTTTCCCATGGAGCGCTGCAGGGACTCATTCTGGGGCCACTTTTATTTTCCATCTATATAAATGACTTTGTTAAATCTTCTGACTTGTTTACCTTTATTTTACTTGCTGATGACAGTAACCTATTCTATAGTCACCCTAATATTAATACTCTTTATCATAATGTTAATCTTGAGCTTACCAAAGTTTTAAACTGGCTTAAAGCAAATAGGTTGTCTCTTAATTTTAAGAAGACTAACTTTATGTTGTTTAGTAAAAAGAAACATCATAAATGACCTAAAATCTTTATTGATGATGTACATATTGATATAACCGATTGTGTCAAATTCTTAGGTTTTTTACAAGTACCACGAAGTAACACAAATCTATAAATGTGTGCGCGCTTCAAAGCGTATTTTATGGAAATGTAATATTTTCGTTTTCACGAAGAGGCACAAATGTCTTGCGTCACGTGCTCCTTGATTTGCCGTATTCAGAAATTGACGTTGTCCTTAATTTACACAGTTACGAGTTTTAAGAGCATTTTGTTTTCAGTTTCGTCAACCATTTGAAATAAAATCATTTTAGACATTTGCAGCGTTTTTTCTCTATGCTATATTGACAAAACACACATTTGTGCTTCTTCGTGAAAACGAGATTGTTCGATAATGCACGAGTGTACAATATTCTGTGTTACTTCGTGAAACCAAAACTGCTCTAATCACGCTTTTTCACAACTGGCACAAGTGAAGATGTGTCAGTTCGTGGTGTTGGTGAAGGTATATTTAACGGAACTTTCATGAAAAAAACAAATCAATAATATTTGCACGACTATTTTAACAAAATATTAGAGTTGTATGTAAACTGAAGCCACTTCCCCCTCAGGATGTACTATTTAAACTTTACAATACTTTAATTGTACCATATCTATCAAATGGGATATTAGCCTGGGGTGATTGTGAGGTTAGTTTAATCAGTAGAATACTTACACTTCAAAATAAAGTTTTAAGAATAATCTACTCTGCCACCTACCTTGAACATAGTAGTCCGTTGTTTTATTCGTACAAAACTCTCAAAGTAAATGACACATATTTCCTTCAGTGTGGGATCGTCATGCATCAGTTAAACACTAAAAAAATACCTAAATCCATTTGTTCTATGTTTATCAAAATGAAGAAGTGCACCACCATTTCTTCAGACAGCAAAAGAAACTTCATCATTCTACTCTCACACAAAATACAGTCAAGCATGAGGGCTCCAGGCTGTGGAATTCCTGAGACGCCTCTATAAAGAATCTACGAAACCTACTAACATTTAAACGTGAATATAAAGATAAACTATTAAGTGGGTATTCAAATTCTATTTAACATCAGTAAGTTTTTGAGGCTTCCAGGGTTACAAGACTTAGTGTTTACGTGTCTTACTGTCTTGTCAAATTGTATGTCGTATTTATTGTATTGTTCGTAATGATGTGAATTATTCCTAATGGGATCCCTTGAGGACAAGCACTTCTTTTATGGGACTCCATCCACAATCATTTTCCTGTTATATCTTTACTGCATATAATTAGGTGGGAAAAAATAAAGAACGAATGAATAAATGCAAGCTCAACTACAAGAAGCTTAAAAGGGCGTTTTTCTGTTCATGCCAAGATGCGAATTCTGAGCGTAGATTGCGTCATTCTGAGAAACCAAGAGAAACCCTCACCCTGTGTGTCGTTGTGGATAAACTTTGCGCATGCCAAATAATGCATGTAGCCATTGTTTGGCATGCACAAAGGGTTTATCCATTACGAACATGGCGCAGTCTATATTCAGAATTCGCATCTTGGCATGAACAGAAAAACGCCCTTTAGGCTTGTTATGGTTG